CCTTTATCTACTCCTAATAAAATTTTCAGCAGACTCAGAATAGAAGGGAATTTCTTCAACCTGAGAAAGTGTATCTATGAAAAATCTGTAACAAACATTACATTTAATCTTAAAAGACTAAATGATTTCTTCCTAAAATCAACAAACTGGCAAAAAATTCCCATTTTCATCACTCCAACTAAAGATTAAATTGTGTAAACACTAAAAATGCACAATATAGAAATTCAGTATAATTATAAAATGGTCTCCAAAATTCCTGCCCCCCGTTGTACAGTATTTGTATAATTGCCTCTCCTTCAGTGTGGACTTGACAATCAATATGATCGATGTCACTCCTATGCATAATGTTACATTTATGGTAAAAAGAAATGTGCACATGTAATTAAGAGCCCAAACCAGGCCAGGTGTGGTGGCTCATGACTGTAATCCCAGCACTTTGAGAAGCTGAGTGAGGAGGATTACTTGAACCCAGGAGATGGAAGCTGCCTGGGCAACACAGCAAGACTGACCCTATCTCCACAAAAAATAAGATATAAATAAAAATTTGTCAATCTTGGTGGTGTATCCCTATAGTCCTGGCTACCTGGGAGACTGAAGCAGGAAGATTGCTTGAGCCCAGGAGTTTGAGGTTGCAATGAGCTGTGATCTTGCCACTGCACTCCATCCTGGACAACAGAACAAGACTCTAACCCTCCCCGGCAAAAACGAATCGCAAATTGGTTTTGAATAGTATGAATATGGATACCATCTGGGAGAGTCTGACTTAATCAGGCAGAAACCCTTAAAAAGCATGAGTAAAACTGTCTCCTGCTGACCTCAAAAAAGATAAAAGTCACACAAGTTCTTCAGCTGCCAGAAACTGAACACTGCCAGTCACCTGAATAAACCTAGATGGGCATCCTGAGCCACAGATGCCCATACAGTGTTGGCTGATCCACTGATTGCAGCCATCTTTTCATGCATCTCAATTTTTCATGAGGATAATTACTTTGTGAAAAATATTTTCCTAGCAAATTCGACCATCAGCAAATTAAAACAATCCTGAGAACAGGTACAGAGGGGTCAGAAAAATATCTGGAACAGGAGGTTGGCATATGTTTTAGGTGAGCCCTAAGAAATGGATCCATCCAACTGATGTCCAGACCCCGACGCATGGAAACTGTAAGATAATAACTGTAAGATAATAATGTTCAAGCTAGAACATTTGTGGTACTTGCTGACTCAGCAATGGAAAGCTAATATATAAACCATTCAAACTACCCATAAAAATATGAAATAACTGAAGATAAATCTGACAAAAGATGTGAAAGACCTATAGGCTGAAAGCTTCAAAACACTGCTGAAAGAAGAGATATATTGCCTGCATGTGTTGGAAGACTTAACTTTGGTGAGAAGTAAATTCTCTCCGAATTGATCTATAATTTCAACTCAATCCCAATCAAAATTGCAGAAGGCTTTTTTTTTTTTTTGCCGATATTAACAAACTGCTTCTAACATTTACATGGAAATGCAAATGACCTAGAACAACCAAAACAATTCTGAAAAAGAAGAATAAAATTGGAGCACTAGTACATTAAGTATCCGTGGGGGAAAGGAGGGCTCCTCCCAGGAGGGAAAATGGTCTAGCACTTAACTGTATGTCCTACTGGGAAGGGAGGTAGGTGGCTTTGGCATTTCCATTTCTGGGTAGGGGATTCAAGGACACCAGCATGCTGAGAGCTGGAGTTCAGAACAAGTGGGGGGCTTCTCTTTGTCACCACTCTGCTTAGAGACCTTTATGGGTTGGCTTTCGTGCAACCTGTAGCTTGAGAACACACCCTGGATCCTGTCTTTTCCCTCTCCCAGCTATGGGCTGCTCCTCCTCACCCCCAGCACTGGAAGGTTAGAGGAAAAACACTATCATTTATACAGAGGGATTTAAAAAAAGAACAGCTTGAAAAATTACACCTATATTAATCAAGATAATGTGGTATTGACATACAAACTGTCCAGTAATACAATTAAACGAAATGGAGGGTATAGAAACAGATCTCTACATATCTGAATAACTGATTCTCAACAAAGGTACAAAGGTAATTAGTGAACACATATTCTTTTCAGCAAATGGTACTGAAACAACTGGATATTCACATGCAAAAAAAGTGAATTTTAATCTAGACCTTATACCATATTAAAAAGTAACTTTAAAATGTATCACAGATATAAACGTAAAACTTAAAACTATAAAGCCAAAAGAAAACATGATAGGAAACATTTATGACCTTAGGTTTGGCAAGGAATATTGAGTTATGACACCAAAACCATAATTCATAAAAATGTAAACTGATAAAGAGGTTTTATCAATATTAAAAACATCTGCTCTTCAAAATTCCTGTTAAGAGAACTTCAAGACAAGCCACAGATTAGAAGAAACTATTTTCAAATCCCATATATGACAATGGATTTCTATCAGAATTCATAAACAACTCTGAAAATTCGACAATAACAAAACGATGTTTTTTAAAAAGTAAAGCAAACAGATTCGAACAGACACACAGATACACAGAAGAGGAATATATAAATATCACAAATAAGCATATGAAAATGTGATCGACACCATTAGTCATTAATGAAATGCAAATTAAAATCGTGAGATACAGCTACCTACCTGTTAGAATTGCTAAAGTTAAAAATACTGACCATACCAATTGTTGTCCATGTGAGTATACAGTAAGAAGAATTAGAATTCTAATATTCTGGGTGGAAATGCAGAATGATACAATGGCTTTGGAAATTTTTTTGACAGTTAAATGTATACATATTGTCTTAGTCCATTTGGGCTGCTATAACAAAATACCATAAACTGGGTAGCTTATAAACAGCAGAACTTTATTTCTCACAGTTCAGGAGGCTGGGGAGTCCACAATAAAGGTTATAGGTTTGACATCTGGTGACGACCTGATTTGCAGTTCCTAAATGGCAACTTCTTACTGTGCACTCATAAGGTAGAAGGGGCAAGACAGCGCTCCATGACATAATCACTCCCCAGCAGCCCCACCTACTCAGACTGTCACATTGGTGATTAGGTTTCCACAGACATATCTGAGGAGAATGCAAATATGCAGACTATAGCACTCACTGATTTATCCAGCCATTTCACTGCTAGGTATTTACCTAGAAAAAAGAAAGAAAACAAATGTCCATACAAAGATTTATACACCTTTTTCAAAGTAGCTCTATTTATAATATCACAAAATTCAAAACAAATCAGATATTTATCTACAGGTAAATGGATAAACTATAGTTCATAAATAAAAAGAATTAACTATTGATATATACTATAATTTAGCTGAATCCCAAAATAATTATACTGAGTGAAAGAAACCAAATGAAAAAGCACGCACTGTATTATATACAACTCTAAGAAATTAAAACTAACTTAAGAGCATGTTTGGCACCCAGATCTTCATTTCCATACCAGTTTCCAATAAGAAAACTCAAACTTCTTTGGATGAATTGCTGATTCTACAACTAGGGCAGGATATATGCAAGATGAGTCTGTTGCATATTGTAATACCAGAAAGTAAGAAAGTGCACTCACACACACATACACTCAATAAGAAGAGAGGGTCAAGGGTCACAGGAGTCAACTGAAAAAGCTCCCAATGCCAAAAACTGGAACAATTTGAGCAACAAAATATTCATGAATCCACACAGACATAAATAAAAGACTAACTAATGGAGTAAATCGGGGAGAAGAGGCAAATCTGTCTCACAGAATTCCAAGTAAATTATGTAGATACTTCATTCCAAAGGAGGGCTGGCTAACTCCCTACTCCCCCACACATCCTCAAAATGACAAATAATGACTTCCTTCTGAAGAGTACAGCATATGGAAAGAGGGAAAAAAGAGTCACTATGCAATGGAGAAACCTGACAAACACCACTTCAGCCAGGTGATGGAGAACATCATTAACAGTCGTAAGTCATGTTGACAATATGTACCCTTCATATGATGTAATAAATATGGCACATTACCTCTTTGATTTTCCCCAACCCCTGCCAAAACCCGTAAGAGTCTACTCATGAGGATACATCAAATTCCAATAGAGGAGCATCCTCCAATGTAGCTCACCTATACTCTTAAGGACTGTGAAGGTCATCAGATACAAGGAAAATCTGAGAAACTCTCACAGCCAAGAGGAGCCCAAGACATCATAACAATTAAATGTGCTGTCCTGGATGGAATCCTAGAAAGAAAAAAGGACATTAAGTGAAAATGAAGAAAATCTAAATGAACTATGAATATTAGTTAATAATAATATATCCGTATTAGTTCATTAGTTATAACAAATGTACCCTATTAATTTAAAATGCTTATAGAGAAATATGTACAAATGATATATGAGCATTCTCTATATTATCTGCTCAATTTTTGTGTAAATCTAAAATTGTTCCCCAAAGTAAAATCTATAAATAAAACATTTAAAGCAAACAGACCGAAAAGGCTTATGTGTATGTATAATTTAATATGTTTAATAAATCAGATATAAATATTTTTAAAAACCTAAGATATGGTAACGGCAGATTAGTGGCTTGCCAGAAAGTGATGATTACTACTAGGGAAGGGGATGGGATAGAATAGCATGAAGGGATTAAAAAAGTGGCATGAGGAAACTTTTGGAGGCAAAGGTTATGTTTATCATTTTAATTTCACAGGTATAACTTAACAAATTATACAATGTAAATATATGCAGCTTATTATGTGACAATTATATCTTGTTAAAGTGTTTTTTTCCCAAACTATAGGAGAAAAAAAAGTCCATATTTAAATCCTCTTCTACAAAAGCAATCTTCAGGAATATTTGGTTAGCCCCATCACACCTGAATTTAATCAGTGAATTTTGTTTTATTCAAAGATTCATACATTTGGGAAGTTCCTGTGCCAACAATACTAGTCACCCAGCATCAAAATTTATGGAATAATGGTGACTTAGGACATGCTGGACATCTTTATTGTTGTTTTCCCACTTCAAGATTTTCAGTTTTATGGAAACAACCTCCCCAGACATTCTGACAAGGGAATTTTAAAAACCAAACCAAATCAAGCAAAATATAGTTTGTCAGATTTAAAATGAGGCCAAGTTCCATTTTATGTCCGTGATCAGGAAACCAAATTATATGGCATCTGACATTTAAAATCACACTCCTAACAAGGCTGTCATTTGATGTCTTGGCTTTCTAGTATACTACTTAACTGCATAATATTGGGTAACCTTGTGCCTCAGTTTTCCCAACTATGAAATTGGGATAATAGTACCTGTTTTGTGAGACTTCTGAAGGATTAAAGTTAATACAGGGCTTAGAAGACTACCTAGTCATGCTGTCCTGATTTTATAAATTCTATTAACTGTGTGAAATTAGCCATCAGGAAAATACAAATAAATCACAGTGAAATACCACTTCACAAACTTGGAGGGCTATAACAAAAAAAGACAGATAACAAGTGTTGTCAAAGATGGGAAGAAATCGGGACCCTTATACACTGTTGGTGGAAATATAAAATGTACACTCATTTGAACACGAGTCTGGAAGTTCCTCCAAAGACTAAACCTAGAGTTACCATATGATCCAGCAGTTCCACTCCTACATATATACTCAGGAGAAAGGAAAATATATGCTGGACAAAATCTTGTACATGAAGGTTCATTTGCAGGATTTTTCATGGTAGCCAAAAGGTGTAAACAACCCAAATGTCCAACAACTGAGAGAGATGGAAAAATAAAATGTGGTTTATCCATACAATGAAATATTTGGCAATACAAAGGAGTGAAGGAGGGAAGTACTGATTCGTGTGGAACATGGATGAACCTCGATCCGAAATAGGCAAATCACAGATAGAAAAAGCACATTAGTGGCTGCTGGGACAATTAGGGGGAATTGTGGAGTAACTGCTAGTGGGTATGAGAGTTATGCAAATGTTATAAAATTAATAGTGTGATGGCTGCACAACTCTGAGTACATGAAAAATCAATGAATTGATACTTTGAGTGAGCTGTATAATATTGGAATTATACCTCAATAAAGCATGATAACTGTTCTAAGATAGTCTGGAAAGAGAAAGCCTGAAAACAGTAATAATGATATTAATATAATCCATTAGTTTACCTCCTACTTTCATAGACTTCTGTACCCACACTTACTCCTGCTCTATTCATAATGGTCCCCTTGCAGTTGCCATATTATATCCTGCCTGTGAACATACTACACCAGCTTCCTGGAATTCTCTTTACCTTTTCTCTACCTGCCTAACTCCCATATATCTAAGACTAACCAGAGTAAACTAATTGGTAGAACAATCAACTCCAAATCCTAGTGACCTAACAAGATAAAGGTGTATTTCTCACTCATGTAGCTTCTCCCCAGATGACTGAGAGGTCCAAGCTCCTTACCTCTAACGGCTCCATCCCTCCTGGAGTCTTCTTGTGTATCCTCTATACATGGTTGAGATAAAGTGTGAGTCATTAGCACAGCTAGACCTTGAGGCCCTATAAGAAAATTTGCAAATCACTCACTCTGTTTTGAACAGGGTATATTTAAGACGATGTCAAAATATCCAATAGTCTTGCATCAAATATAGTTTATGACTCTGTATCTAAAACATATATTGCAATATCCTTTCCTTTCTCTACTGACTCCATGAATTTAGAGATGATCCATTTTATAAGCTCAAAGATAATTATTTTTCAGACTAAGAATATTAGGAGAAGAAGTACTTTCAACATCTCTACTGAGGATCTTATGATGTAGCACAGGGTATAAGCTGAAGCTAAAGGAAACTTTCCTTGAAGCCCTATTTACTAAAAATTGGAACACATTCCTTAGGAAAAATCAAAGTATGGCACGCAACATCCAAACTTCCATCATAGATACAGAGTTGTTACTATCTCCCACTTCCAAATTTGTTTGTCACATTGAGGATTACTCAAGAGGAGCAGGACACATTGGTTGCAGCAGGAGAAACTTGAAAGCACTCACTTTTATGGAATTCATAAGGGAGAGAATCTCTTAAAGTATTTACAATCATTTTTGATACATTTATTATTTTAAAACATAATGTAGCCAAACGTCATCCACTGTATTAAATCTTTACAAAACTGAAATCCTAAAATGGTGATAAAAATTCTACTTCTGATAGAATCTATTCGTTTTTCCAATAAGATAGGGCATAATTCTTAATTTGCAGAACAAAATATAATATGCTTATGAGATTCCATCCCAAAGAACCTGCTATTCAGAGTAGCATTCAGAATAACGGGTGGAAAAGCCAACTCCAGAGTTTCAGATCCTACCCATAATTGGGGTAGGGAGGGGCTTTGGGCGGGGCCTCTCTAGAGAAGGAGGCGTTGTTAGAAAGCTGTCCGGCCAGTCCAAAGCTGTCACTAATCGGAGTAAGCCTTGGATTTGTGCAAGGATTCTGGCGTCTGGGTAGCACTCTCAATGAGAACTAGCTTCACTTGTCATTTGAGTAAAATCTGCAACCGGAGGAGGCTAGAGCTCCTGCACTGCTGAGAACTGAGACCTTCAAAAATGACTGTCACCCGCTGTAGGGAGCCAGCAAAAGCACGACCTTTCCTGAGAGAGGTTCGACTAGCCCCAGGGTTTTAGTGAGAAGTGCAATGGAACTCAGCGAGGGATTGAGAACTTCACAGCATGCGCGAGTTTGATGCCAGAGAAAAAGTCGGGAGATAAGGAGTTGCGTGTCCCTCAATTGCCGTCGCAGCCACAGCCACTCAAGTGCCGGACTTGTGAGTACTCTGCGTCTCCAGTCCTCGGACAGAAGCCGGAGAACTCTCATGGAGAACTCTCCCAGTTAAGAGTCAAGATCCCTACAGTAACTACTGTTTCTTGCTCTCCCCACTTGCTGCTCTCTGGGACAAACGACTGCTACCCTTCCCCTAACGACAGGATGGAAGCCAAGGGCAGGAGCTGACCAGCGCCGCCCTCTTCCACCCCCGACCCAGGAGGTGGAGATCTCTTTGGTCCAGCCACATTCAACACCCACTTTCCCCTCCCTCTCCCCCTATATTCCCCAAACCCCCTCCTTCTTCCCTTTTCCCTCCTCCCTGGAGACGGGGGAGGAGAAAAGGGGAATCCAGGTCGTCATGACTGAGCTGAAGGCAAAGGGTCCCCGGACTCCCCACGTAGCGGGCAGCCCGTCCTCCCCCAAAGTCGGGTCCCCACTGCCGTGTCGCCAAGCCGCAGGCCCGTTCCCAGGGAGCCAGACCTCGGACACGTTGCCTGAAATTTCTGCCCTACCTATCTCCCTGGACGGGCTACTCTTCCCTCGGATCGGCCAGGGACAGGACCCTCCCGACGAAAAGACGCAGGACCAGCAGTCCCTGTCGGACGTGGAGGGTGCATATTCCAGAGTTGAAGCTACAAGGGGTGCTGGAGGCAGCAGTTCTAGACCCCCAGAAAAGGACAGCGGACTGCTGGACAGTGTCTTGGACACTCTGTGGGCGCCCTCAGGCCCGGGGCAGAGCCAACCCAGCCCTCCTGCCTGCGAGGTCACCAGCTCTTGGTGCCTGTTTGGCCCCGAACTTCCCGAAGATCCACCGGCAGCCCCCGCCACCCAAAGGGTATTGTCCCCGCTCATGAGCCGGTCCGGGGGCAAGGCTGGAGACAGCTCCGGGATGGCAGCTTCCCATAAGGTGCTGCCCCGGGGCCTGTCACCCTCCCGGCAGCTGCTGCTCCCGACCTCTGGGAGCCCTCATTGGTCCGGGGCCCCAGTGAAGCCGTCTCCGCAGCCCGCTGCGGTGGAGGTTGAGGAGGAGGATGGCTCCGAGTCCGAGGACTCTGCGGGTCTGCTTCTGAAGGGCAAACCTCGGGCTCTGGGTGGTGCAGCGGCTGGCGGAGGAGCCCAGGCTGTCCCGCCGGGGGCGGCTGCAGGAGGCATCGCCCTGGTCCCCAAGGAAGATTCCCGCTTCTCAGCGCCCAGGGTCGCCCTGGTGGAGCAGGACGCGCCCATGGCGCCCGGGCGCTCCCCGCTGGCCACCACGGTCACGGATTTCATCCACGTGCCCATCTTGCCTCTCAGTCACGCCTTATTGGCCGCTCGCACTCGGCAGCTGCTGGAGGACGAGAGCTACGACGGCGGGGCCGGGGCCGCCAGCGCCTTTGCCCCGCCGCGGAGCTCACCCTCCGCCTCGTCCACCCCGGTCCCCGGCGGCGACTTCCCCGACTGCGCGTACGCTCCCGACGCCGAGCCCAAGGACGACGCGTACCCTCTCTATGGCGACTTCCAGCCGCCCGCCCTGAAGATCAAGGAGGAAGAGGAAGGCGCGGAGGCCTCCACGCGCTCCCCGCGTTCCTACCTGGTGGCGGGTGCCAGCCCCGCCGCCTTCTCGGATTTCCCGCTGGGGCCACCGCCCCCACTGCCTCCACGAGCGCCCCCATCCAGACCCGGGGAAGCGGCGGTGACCGCCGCACCCGCGAGTGCCTCAGTTTCGTCCGCGTCCTCGTCGGGGTCGACCCTGGAGTGCATCCTGTACAAAGCGGAGGGCGCGCCGCCCCAGCAGGGCCCGTTCGCGCCGCCGCCCTGCAAGGCACCGGGCGCGGGGGGCTGCCTGCTCCCGCGGGACAGCCTGCCCTCCACCTCCGCCTCCGCCGCCGCCACCGCCGCCGGGGCAGCCCCCGCGCTCTACCCTGCCCTCGGCCTTAACGGACTCCCGCAGCTCGGCTACCAGGCCGCTGTGATCAATGAGGGTCTGCCACAGGTCTACCCGCCCTATCTCAACTACCTGAGGTAAGGCCCGGGGGGACGCATCCAGGGCGTCCGTGAGTAGCGGTTCCGCGGGCTGCAGCGGCCAACCCCAACCCCAGCCCCAGCCCCGGCGCAAGGCTGCGCTCCCCCAGGCGGCCGGAGAGGGTGGGCAGCGGGATACTGCACCGGGTAGTTGCCTCCCTTCTTCTTCCCTTCTCTCCTCACTCTTTTGGGGACACGAAGGTGGGCGCAGAATGTGCTGTTTTTGGAGCATGCCTCCCCGAAAGGTTTTTCTTTTTCTTTTCCTTTTTTTTAACTTTCCGAATCTTCCAGATTCCGAAGCAGAACCAACCCTGATTTAAAATGTGCAGCGTCACACTAGGTCCGCTGTAGCCTGCGGAGCAGAAAGTGCGCAGCGAGTCGGGGACTTTATGAGATGCTTCTTTCTTAGAAGGAGCTTTCTTAGAAGGAGAGGAGTTAAGGCACGGTTCCCCCCGGGAAGGGTGGGACTTGAGAGGTGGCGGGCCAGAACCGAAAGCAGCACAATCTTAGGGATTTGAAAATTTTAAGGACTCAGTTGTCTTAAGACTCTCAAGATTAAAATTAAGTTCACGTGGGAGATGTTTAAACTGTGAATTTAAATACCAGTCAGTGCATTGCACCGTTTTCTAATTATTCCTTGCGATTCACTACTTTTTTTTCATACAGGTTTAAAAAAAAACTCTTTAATTTGCATACTGAAGTAATGGGATGTAAAAGAAAAAGAATGCTCTGTTTTGAATCTTATGTTGTGAGTAGGCAAAACAGTGTCAGTGTATTGAACAATACTTTAAAATGACAAACACATACTTGTTTAAGTAAGCAATGATTACAGAGTTGTGTTTTAAAAACTCAAAACCAAAACATTGCAAAGTGCCATCGAACTTTTAAAGCCAAACTATGTTTGTTTTGACCCAGCATACAGACAGGAAGGACAAAACATTTCATTTGTCAAAGACTAAATTGCTTCTATATAAAGAGTTTTGTAGAAAGATTTCTTTTTAACTGATTTTAGCTTTCCAGAACATATTATACATTAATTATTCTTTTATATTGGTGCTACTGATGACTGGTGCTAATCATTTGCAAGTCTGGTGAATTTGGTTACAAGTAGTCTATTACCAAGTGTGCATGTCTTTTAAGTGTATATATGAAGTTCTGTTTTTAAAATCTCCTTTCACTCTGTTAATGCTGGTTTAAGAAACCTTTAGTATTAGATAGTGGTGCACTTAAAAATAAGTGGAGTACTTTCTTTTGCATTTCAAGGCCAGATTCAGAAGCCAGCCAGAGCCCACAATACAGCTTCGAGTCATTACCTCAGAAGATTTGTTTAATCTGTGGGGATGAAGCATCAGGCTGTCATTATGGTGTCCTTACCTGTGGGAGCTGTAAGGTCTTCTTTAAAAGGGCAATGGAAGGTAGGCCCCTTTCCCCTGATCCTTTATTACTGGTTTAATTGTAAATGGAGACCATCTATTGTTACTTAGATTTTAATTATTCCTTGTTTGTTCCAAGAAATGGTTATTTTCCATATAATTTAAAATATGTGATGACATTTTAACACTATGTTTTTATTTATGATACTCAAAATTGAATGTGGTTATTATAATTGCATAGTCTTTAACACTTTCAATATTAGACATAAGTCATAAAAGTCTTGAGGACAGTGCTACTATTGTTCCTTAACTACTTAGCTTTCAGGAAACAGCTTTGTTCTAATACTTTTATATATCTATTATGTATGCTATATCTGCAGTGCTTTAAAATTTTGATTAAAAGAAAAATGGTAATTGACATTATACATGTACATATATGTGTATACATATTTGTCTATACATACACAAATATATCACAACCTATATATGATGCAGTTATAGTTTTCTACATGATAGTCTTAACTACATGTAATATTTATATAATAGTTATTCTAAACAAATTTTTGAATTCTCTTTGTTCAGCATACTTTTGTAAGTGTATAAGAGGACAGGATTAAACAGTTTAAAACTTAAAAAATTGGGGCATCACAGTAACACAATTTCTAAAGAAGTATTTTGCTTTAAGTAAACTTTCATGTTTTTAAACTCATTGAACTTACATGCTTAGTGATTTCAGATTGACTTGCATCGTGTGTTTCAGGCTTTAACTTTCAAAGAAAATAGTTTTGAATTTCTTTCTACCTAAACTCTAAGCAGCCAAATACCTTTACATTTGAAGATAAAAATGCATTTAAAGATCATTTCATATTTTAATACTAGCAATAAGATTAGCAACAAATGTACAGTATAACTATGTAAAACGGGTTTAGGTTCCATCTGGAACGCTGAGATCACACCTAGGCAATGAACCAAAGATCTGAATGTTAGCTTTTGTTTCCTGTTTGGAGGTTTTCTGTTTGTTTGTTTCAAGAGCACTCTCCTGACAAGCAGAAGAGCAGGGAAGGGGAAATTTCACTTTAAGGCTTTCAAAGGAGTTCTTCATAACAAATATTTGCTTCGTATATTTTAAGAACTTTTTTTTTCACAAAAGATTAATGTGTTTTACTGATGTTGAACATATTCAGCTTCAGGGAGTTTGATTGCATTTTAAACTAATTGAGGCACTCTTAGAAGTGGTACTTGAGAAAACAGGGCAACCGAGAGTGGCACTTTCCCGTTGATATAATGTATTTACAGTTACAGATGGAAGTTCTTCATGAGGAAAAGTCAGTTTTCCAATGAGTAATTGGAGTTACCATTTTTATTTGACTTTCGTTGTGGTTTCTTAAACATTTCCTTCTATATTAATATGATTTCCTCTATTTGTAAAGTCTCCTAAGGATAGTATAATTTTATAAGTGAATGACTCCCTTAGAATGCCCTGAAGGCCATTTGTCCTACTCCAGCTCCTTCTTCCTAAAGATAAGCAAATCTCAAATGCATAAATCTGAGTTTCCAAAGGTCACACAGCTAGTTAGTAGCTGATTGTTAGTAAACATAGGTTAAATATTTTTAAATTGCAGTGCTTATAAATCAGAGGTGATATGCAAAAGTCAATTTATTATAAGCTCTGTTTGATTCACAGAAGTTACTTCAGAAAGTGCACATGTAGAACAAAGAGCACCCTGACTGTAAAATACAAATGCTTTTTCATCATTATTGTTAGAATGGCATCCAAAACTGTAGAGGAAGTCTTTCCAAATGTACTCTTAGAAAGTATTTGTTGGACTCCTGCTGTTGGCATGGTCCTATAGTCTTGAGTCATGGAATTGAAGCACCTTTATTTAGCAATATTTACAAAGAGTAACTTAAGATTGATGCAGATAAATCATTCATAAAACTAGAACAAGATTACGAACAATATTACTAAGTTTCTTCATTCAGCAACTATTATATAACTTTTATAGTTACACTTATGGAAAAGATAGCCTTTCCCTGGCTTCACTTTTCCCTGCCTTGAGATAAAATGAGGATAAAAGTGGCAATTTCTTAGGGTTGCTATAGAGATTAAATGAGTTATACTTGTATGTCAAAGAAGGCCTGACATATTGTCAGTTGCCACTAGCATTTCTGCTTTCAAGGAGCTTATAATATAGTTAGGGAGGTAACATATGCACATCAAACATTGAAATAAAGATTCTCAGTAAATGCCCAGGTAGGCAATTTTGTAATGTATGAGATCTGTGTGGTTTGTGAGTTTTTGTATTCAGGCAGCGTGAGGTGGTTGTGGGCTGTATTCTGTATATTCTTGAATGATGAGGAAGGCTTCATGGAAGATATGAACATTTGATTAGTAAAGGACAAATAAGATCTCTAGGCATTGAGGAGAGCTTTAAGTGTATATCGTAAAAGAAGATTGAGGAAATTAAGTTTACACTAAGCGTTGAATGTTCACATTGGAAATTGAGAGAGTTAAAGCTTGGGAAACTAGGTTGCTAGTGTTTGAGTAAATTTGGAAAATCAGGGATTTAAGGCAAGAGAATAGAAAGAAGGTTCTAGGAGTCTTCAGGAATGAGAAAGATAAGTAGAAGGACTTAGACCAGCTTCAAAATCTTGATAAAGCAATGCTGTGGGATGAGCTGATTCAAGGTGGTGATATGTGTGGATGACAATATGGCCAGAAGTTTAAAGTCAACAGGAAACAATACGGATACTAATGTTGTCAAGGATGATAATACAAATGATGGCATTATAAAGTGCTTTCTCTATACCAGTAACTATTTCAGTGCTTTGCAGGTCTTATTTATTGTTATAATGTTTGTATTATTATTTTTATTCCCACTTTACAAGTGAGAAAACTAATGCCTATAGATGTTAAGCTGTCTTAATACAGTTAGGAAATGGTAAAATCAGGGTTCAAATATGGTAGTATGACTCCAGAATCCTGGCCCTCGACCACTGTGCTTCCTTTCTCTTTTTCTTTCTTTGAGACAGAGTTTCACTCTTGTTGCCCAGGCTGGAGTGCAATGGCATGATCCCAGCTCACCACAACCTCCACCTCCCGGGTCCAAGCAATTCTCCTGCCTCAACCTCCCAAGTAGCTGGGATTACAGGCATTCACTACCACACCTGGCTAATTTTGTATTTTTAGTAGAGATGGGGTTTCTCTATGTTGGTCAGGTTGGTCTCGAACTCCCGACCTCAGGTGATCCACCCCCTCGTTCTCCCAAAGTGTTGGGAGCCACTGCCCCTGGCCTGTGCTTCCTTTCTCATAATAGAAAACATGGTCAAAGAAAAACAATAGAGGGTTAGAAGGAAAAGATGTGAGCCAAGTGATGAAACATCTAGGAAGGCAAAAGTGAATCCTAAAGGAGAATGCAAGAGCAGGGGTAGTGAGAAGTGTTTGATATAAAAGGATGGATCATATTAACTTTACATTTAGGGCAGCAATAAGAAGACATAAACAGGAGCCAACAGTCAGCAGTCTTCACCAGCAGTCTTCACCTCCCGCCCTGGTTAGGAGTGGGAGGTGATAAAGCCTATAAAGTCACTCTGGATGACTGGGTTTCCCTTGATATGAGACAGAAAAGAGAAGAGGTGAAGAAAAAAGATACCACTCAAGAAATGGGAGAAAGGAGTGGGGAGAGATGATGTTTTTTTAAGCTAATTGAACCATTTAAGATACAGTATTGGCCAAAAACCAGTTGGTTGGATAGCTCATTGCATTCTTTTACCAAGACTTGTAGGTTTGGAGTGAACCAGGAAATGGTCAGGAATTGACTTGATGCCTTCCATGGAGAGTAAGTAGTAATGACCTGCCAGTCCTACAAATGCAGACTACTGACCTGGTGTGATGAAGGAGAGGACTATCCTCAGTGGCTTATCTTTCCCAGTGCACAGTGACCATCCCAGAGCTAGGAATATATTAGGCATCCAGTAAATAATTATTTGCTACATGATCCCATCATCATAACTGATAATGTCACACTTTTATTTTTTGGATGCTTTATTCAGTGACAAATGTAGTGAATACATTTGATGTAATATGATTAAATACATGTTATAATACCATTGAAATGTATTACTTAGACATTAAGCTAAGTAGGTATTGATGGATTTTCAATTGTATTGCAATATTATCCTCATTCTTTTATTCATGTATAATTATTCATGAAGTAATTCCCTTAATTACAATAGTTAGGTATTAATTTATTGAGTACCTGCCAGGCACTATGTTAGGTGCTAGTAAAACAAAGGAGACCTTGCTGGCTGTTGCCCTGGTAAAGTCTATAGTGTAGTGGTGGAGAGAGACATTTTACCAATTTGTGTACACACGACTAGTTGCACATGTGGTAAGTGATTTGTTTATGCAATGTTTGGACAACAAGAGAATTGACCCCTCTATCAGAAGCTGGGGATAATGGGGAAAGTTTTTCAGACTTAAACATCACCATAATAGACTACAGAGGAAACTGGACAGAAATGAAATACTTTTATGAATAAAGTGTTTCTTTTAATAGTTGAGTATGCTTACTGTCATAGGCTAATAATGAAAACTGATGTGGTAGCATAATTCTCCTTGATCAGGAGAGAGATACTAAACATCCAGTTTTTCATTAGCAACTTCTATGATTTATTCTATATTTAGAGCTCTGTAATGCTTTCTCCATCTTTTGTAGTGCACAGATTATCCAGCAATCTCTTCCACTATAGTCTATTTGAATAATATTTGGGTTCTGAGAAGATATTTTGCCAATAATCTTATTTAATTTCATTTATTCTCCAGTAGGGTTCACCCTATAGTAGCTTTCACATTACCCTAAAAATAAATGTGTAGTAATTCACTAGATTTTATTTCAAAACTGTATATCCAGTTTCTTCTCAACCTGTGGCCTCTCAGCTTAATATTTAGCATGGATAATGATAGGCTGGTTTTAAGCACAATTTTACATTATGACTCCGTTATAACAGAAAACTCTTAGATCTCAATCAGGTGTTTATTC